GACTTAGGCGGAATTTGACAATTTTTCTTGAAAATATAACATAAACCATTCTAAAATGTGGAAATAATACCTGTTCTATAATTGAGTTTTTACTTTCAAATACATTAGATCCATGGCATGAATGAACAAACCAATTATCACAAATCCATGCAAATTTGAAGCATCCAAATTTCAATAAATATCAGTAAACAATTAAGCATCATTACTTCAATAGCATAATTTAGGTTTTTTATTAATATTACAATGAATATCAGAAATTTGAGCTTGATTTAGGGGTTTTAATTAAATGACAATAAATTTTAGAAATTTATTGATTTATAGGTTTTAATGAAATCCTAAACAAAAACAATTATCCTAATTTGAGAATATTTTACCTGTTTTAGCTTGAATGAAGATATGGAACCTATCCTTGTAACAGTGTCGAAGCCAGAATTTAGGAGTGTAATCGAAGAAGAAAGGATCATGATTCACGAACTCGAAATCAAATCTTGAACCTAGATTACGTTTTGGGTTTCTAATATTAGTATATGGAAAAGGGGAGAAAAAGGTTATCACCTGATGGTAGTCATAAGCAGAGAAGATGAGAAAGGAGATAGAGAGTTAGAAAAAGGAGATTGATTTTCAAGAGAATGAGAAAAATTGATAAAAATCCATGAAAGATTAGGCAAGAATGGGGGGAAATTGAGGTTTGGGGTTGGTGCTTTGGACGGATTTTTTCCAGATAAAGGGGAAGCGAAAATGAGAAAGACGGAGGCTGTACGACGATTGCATCATTTAGGGTTCTTTATATATATATATTTTACCAAAATACTTGGGCTTAGTCAGGAGGCCCTGTTCGGTTTTCAGTTATTAGGCCTCCTGACCAACACCACAAAGTTTCAGTCTTTCTCTTGGAATGTCTGAGTTTCTAGCTTCTAGTTAATTTTCCAGTTGAGTCTAGGACAATTGCTATCTCCATTCAACTTAAGCAATCTTAATTTAATTTTTTGAATATTAATTTTAAATTAAAATTTAACATAGTATAGTATATAAATTAAAATCTTTTTTTTTTGATAAAATGAAATTATTTAACAAGAATTATATGTAAGAAAAAAGATTAATATTTATTTATATGTTTTATTAATTTTTTAACTGAAATTAATATATGGGATATTACTATTAAGGCTTGGTTTAGTATGATTATTAATTTGAATTTTTAGTTTTAA